CAGGTATTGGGGGTCAGGGGCTTGGGTTTGGGGGTCGAGGACACTGCCAGCACTGACCCCCCCGTGTCCCCTCCCTGGCAGGAGGCCGTGCAGAACCTGGACAATGTTTACGTGAAGTACGTGCTGGTGGCAGCCGTGGTGGTGGTGGTGCACCTGGTGCTGCGGCGCACATCCCCGGCCCCCGGGCTGTTCTGGAGGAGCAGAGGGGTGTGACAATGCCCCAGTGACAGTGTGTGACAGTGACAATGTGGCACACAGTGCCCCAGTGGCAGTGTGTGACAGTGACAATGGGCATACAGTGCCCCAGTGGCAGTGTGTGACAGTGACAATGTGGCATGCAGTGCCCCAGTGACAGTGTGTGACAGTGACAATGGGCACGCAGTGCCCCAGTGGCGGGGGGGGACATCTCTGGGATGGGACATCTCTGGGACAAGGTGTCTCTGGGAGGGGACATCCCTGGGAAGGGGACATCTCTGGGAGGGGACATCCCTGGGACGGGACATCCCTGGGAGGGGACATCTCTGGGATGGGGCATTTCTGGGATGGAGCATCCCTGGGAGGGGACATATCTAGGAGGGGACATCCCTGGCCCCCGGGCTGTTCTGGAGGAGCAGAGGGGTGTGACAATGCCCCAGTGACAGTGTGTGACAGTGACAATGGGCACGCAGTGCCCCAGTGGCAGTGTGTGACAGTGACAATGGGCATACAGTGCCCCAGTGGCAGTGTGTGACAGTGACAATGGGCACACAGTGCCCCAGTGGCAGTGTGTGACAATGCCTGTGGTGCCCGTGCTGGGTCGCGTGCCCCTGGGGCAGCAGCAGAGCCCCCTCCCCATCACTGACAGCTCCATCCCTGTGTCCCAGGGTGGTCCCAGCCCTGGCTGCTCCAGCTGCTGGAAACCCCAGCAGGGACAAACCCAGGGGGCTGCTCCCCCTCCTGCTGCTCCTGAGCCCAGAACTGGAGCCTTTCCCATCCCCTGAGCTTTTCCCATCCCCTGAGCCTTTCCCATCCCTTGAGCCTTTCCCATCCCCTGAGCCTTTCCCATCCCTTGGGCCTTTCCCATCCCTTGAGCCTTTCCCATCCCCTGAGCCTTTCCCATCCCCTGAGCCTTTCCCATCCCTTGGGCCTTTCCCATCCCTTGAGCCTTTCCCATCCCCTGAGCCTTTCCCATCCCCTGAGCCTTTCCCATCCCTTGGGCCTTTCCCATCCCTTGAGCCTTTCCCAGCCCCTGAGCCTTTTCCATCCCCTGAGCCTTTCCCATCCCTTGAGCCTTTCCCATCCCCTGAGCCTTTCCCAGCTCTCCATGGACAATCCCGACCCTTTTCCATGAAAACCCTCGTGCCTGGAGCCCTGCAGCTCCTGGGGGCACAGCTGGGAAGCACCAGCAGCTCCCCCAGCACTAAAACCTGTGAGTGCCTGGACTGGCAGTGGCCCCATCCTCCCCCTGCCCCAGTTGGGCTCCTTGTCTCTTACTGGGAGCCACTGGAGCTGCAGCCCCTCCCTGGAGCAGGGACCAGGCTCCTCT